AGATCTCATAAATGGAAGAAATTTTAAAAGAGAAAAAATTAAAGAGACACACAGAGAAAGACAGAGCCCCCCCCACTCCTCTAGATTACATTCTTCAATGACAACTTTGAAAGTTGTGACCTCACTGAGGGGAGTGTTCGTCATGCTAAGCAAAATGGAAAACATGTTTTTAAAAACAATCACGGTCCAATGTAGGAACTGAGTCATGTGCCTCAGAGTTCACTATAAACTTCGGAAAGCACTACTCCCCAGTTGGCAGGAAATTCCACATTAGGAAGCCAAAATATACCGTAAATCAGCTGTCCTCCTACCAGGTGACCTCCCTGGTGGAAGGTGAGGCTAGTTTGGAAGGGTGGTACATGGCCCCTTATAGCTCTCAGCAGGAGCTCTGGCCGCTGCCACTGGGGGAAAGGCCCGCTTTGGGAAATGAAGACTTTGAGAGGAGGCCTTGCAACTTCATCCAAAATACTGACCAACTTTCCTAGAGCATGACCACAACGTGAACAGAAAGAGAAAAAGCATCAGCAGACGGCTTGAGTTCAAATCCCAGCTCATTTTGTTTTACTTCCCTCACTGTAAAATGGGGAGGAAAATAATGGTCTCTATCTTGTTTGGTCATTGTGAGGACGAAAAGGGTTAATACGTGTAGCGTACTTAGAACCACACCTGACGTGTAAGTTCTCTAGCTTACTACTAATACTGTTGCTGTCACAGGCATAACGACAGACAGGAAAGATTTCCTTTAATCTCCCTTTTATGCACTAAAACACAAACACTCACTGCTATCGAGTCGATTCCGACTCACAGTGACCCCCACTGAGTTTCTAAGCTCTAAATCTTTACAGAAGCAGACTGCCTATCTTTCTTCCAAAGAGTGGCTGGTGGGTTCAAATCATCAACCTTCTGGTTAGCAGCCAAATGCCTTAACCACTATGCTACCAGAGCTCCTTACCCCCTAAATAGTATCCCATAAAGAAATACAGGATAGGACCAAGTCCAAAATTAGCATCCAGGTTCTGTTCTGGGATAAATTCACTGGAAAACTAACCAACTCATATTTACTGAGCTCCTGCTGTCAGTGAGAGTCGTGACTGTCAGGGAGCTGTTGTTCAGTGGGTCTTGGAAGGAAGCCTTACTCCCAGCTGGCCAATGTGCTCACGTAGCAAATGTCATGGGCCTTCCCTAACAGCAGCTCAACATGGGACATCTTAAGACAAACTAAAAGGGGAAAAAAGTAGCAGATGAAAAATAAGCTGGCCATCATTAGCTAGATTTGCCAATAGCCTCTTTTATCTCATCTCAGGGAAACTCCACTGCCAGACACACTGCCTGCTCCCCACCTAAAGTCCAAACCAGGGACACTCATGCCTGAGTGAAGTTCGCCCAAATTATCTCAGGAGCAGAAATTCCCAACTTTGACCTTGCCTGAAAAATATAGGTTGGTGAGTAGGAGCCTTGGGATGAAAACTGGGAGATCTGGACCCAGACGTTTTGGTCTTGAGCACATCCCTGGTGTCCTTGGGTCTCGGTTTTACTCTACCTGCTCCATTCAGGGACTACTCAGGTAGAAATTAAACAGTGCACATAGACGGTACTTAACCTGGCATTCCAGACCATCCAAAGCCTGGGCCCACCCACTCTTCCAGCCTGGTCTTTGAAGGACCTTAAAGAGCAGTGGCTTTGGAGTGAGGTCACTGACTCTCTACTTACCAGCTGTAAGTGACTGGGCAGTAACTTAATGCCCCTAGCCCCAAGGAATGGGGATGGTATGTTCAGGTAGCAAGATTATCTTGGGATGAAAAGAGATAGTGCCTGTGAAGGCCTTACTCAAGGCCTGGCAGCAGGGGAGTTCTATGAACATTTGCACCTTAATCTCCCATTTCTTCCGAGGTAAGCCCCACAACCTGGGGGAATGGTCAACATGATGCCTACTCTGTTCTTTCCCACAGGACCTCAGCCTGTGGGAAATGATGGTCCTCTGCCTGTGAAGTCCCTTTACTCTTCTCCATCCCTTTAAATCCTATCCACCCTTTAAGGCCCGTTTCAAATGCCACCTTTTCCATGCAGCCTTCCCTGAATCCTATCAGGCCAAAGGCAAACTCTCTTTAAACAGTCCCGGTAGTTTTGGCACATAAATGCCACTCTCCACATTATAAATTACACATTTTGTCTTGTCTCCTCCTGCTAGGAAATTACTTTCTTGATGGTAAAAATTATGGCTCATCTATAGTTTCTAACATCGAGAAGAGAAGAAGCCAAGCATGAACTAGAAACGTGTTAGAACTGCAAATTCTCAGGTCTACCTCAGGTTTACTGGATATATTATGGGAGTAAGACCCAGAAATCTATGTTTTAGCAAGTCCTCTAGGAAATTCTGATGTTCGCAAAAGTTTGAGAACCACTAGAATAAAGGTTTGCCAAACGAATAAATGAGTGAAAGAAGAATTAAAATACAGTACCATCAAAACACATGGGGTAATAACTATGATGACCAGATCCTTGTAGCCTCTGCTCTGTTAAACAGGGCCTTTGGTTCCTGTCTGATGTAGGCCTAACAATGCTTCCTGACTCAGGTTACAAAAGGTCTGTGTATGGTTGTGCATCTGTGTAAAACGGGGTAGGGGTGTGTGTGTGAGAGACAGACACTCTTTAGCACACAGGAATATTCAGCTTAGTAGAGGTAAAAGCATTGTTGCAAATGGCATTTTTTCCCCCTGGAACCTTCCCTGTAGCTAACTACGGTTGGAGAGACACCTTGTCTGATCAAAATTCTGCCAAAGATTTTCTGGCTGAAACTTTTTTTTCCAGGGGAAAGAGGAAAAAAAAAACAAAAACCCAAATGCTATTCCTTTCACCTGCCAGGCCAAGTCAAGAGACAACTAAAGGGAACTGGGTTCAGAGCAACAGAAAGCGCAGCTTTGACAAGAAGTTTAGGACCTTCTTCCAACACTCAACCTCTCTCTTACTCATACTGGCAAGAGGCCGTGACCAAGGAGGGAAACAAATGGAATTCCTGAGAGGGGCAGAACACACAGTGGGCATCGACTGTCCAAGAATCTACTTCTGGGCACAGTTCTGTTTTTATACCCCCTATCACTCCAGAACTTGGAAAGCATGTGCCAACCTGTATAATGGGGAGCCTTTTTTCCTGATCCAGCCTCTGGCCTCCTCTTCTCCTTTCCCCAGTTGATCACAACTGGTGAGAAAGCCACATGTACGACTCCTCCCCTGTAAGTCCTTGGGGTGAAGATGCCTGCTTCCCTCCCAGACTGTCTCCCTGCCATCTGGGTCTTCTTGTCCCTGCTGCCCAACCCCCCGTCCCGGCTTGGGTGACCCAATTCTGGTGGCTACTGAGTCTGCTCCACCAGTGCCCAGGAGGCTCTGTCAATCTGAGATGAGACTATTAGCAGCCCCATTCCTTTCTGCAACCGATGCCACCTGGGCTGGGCCCCAGTAAAACAAACTGCAATTCTATGGCTTTTTGGCAGCCCAGCTCAGACTTTTGTTTTCACAAGGGGTGGGAGGGAGAATTTGAACCCTGTAGTTATCTGCATTTTAAAACACTTGAAGGAGGTCTCTCCACCTGCGGCACTTGATGCTCTTTAGTAAGTCCCTCAACCCCACCCCTTCTAAAATAGCAACAAGGACTCTATGCCCTCTTTTGCTACTGCTTATAAAGGCAGAGGGCTGGCCCCTGGAATTCCTCAGAATTCTGACTAGCCAGTCCTCAGTTCTCAAAACTGAGGGAGAGGCTCTGCTTGTAGGAACCATTCCCACTGGCTCCAAGATACGACCATTTCGGAAGGAGAGACTTTGCAGCCAAGAGTCTAATTTCCTTTCCATACCAGACAACAGCCCTTCTAGTTGCTTTCTTACCATATCACTGATGTGGGGGGAATGGGATGGTCGGAAAGGAGAAGGGGAAAAAGGGCAGAAGTGACGGTGAGAGTGAGAACATGGTTTGACAAACAAGCCCAAAGTTTATTTCCACATAGAGGGAGTGATGGGAGGTTGGAATTAACTAGGGGAATGAGTCCATAGTTTCTTCTCTCAACAGATGGTTGTTAGAATCACTGCAATGCCACTCACCTGTGTGGCCCTTCTGCCCAAGGACTCCTCCATCCTCCCATTCTTTATGGGGACAACCGGAAGTCAGATTCTAACATCCTACACTGTATCACCTAAGTTGCAGCAAGGCGATCACAATACAAAGTGTGTTAGTGAACTCTTCAATCCTGGATTACTCATTAAAGACTACAGCAACATCACCACCACCCTATAAAGCCTTGGATGATACAAGTGGTCTTGGCCTCAACCAAACTAGTGGGCAAGACAAGGCACTTAGGTGACAGTAATATGCTAGGTACACTGGAGAGGTCTCCAGATGCTGCAGTTTGAGACTGGAGGAAGAACCAAAGGGGCTGAAGCTCAAGACTCCCTCTCTCCTAAGTCCACAAGCAGGAACCCAGGTCAAGACTATCCACTTGAGAGGAACCCTCAGAAACAGAGACAGCTCCTTGATGTTCTACTGAGAATTCTGGAAGCCATGTGGTTCTTACAAGAAAACTGCCATCCACAGAGCCCAGCCCAGTGTTCACACTGGCTGGGCTGCAGCAAAAAAAAAAAAAAAAAAAAAAACGGCAAGCCTGGGCTCCTGAGCTGGCTGGTCCAAGGAAGGAGCCAAGGTGTGGTCACTGCTGGGCACACGATGAAGGAGGCATCATAGGGGACTCCAGGCAGGACCTTCTGCAGCAATCCAGGTGACCACTGCCTCTTAATAAGGCTCTGACCAGATCATCCAAACGTCAACCCACAGTGTCCAAAGAGCACCAGAGCTTCTCCTCTGCAAAGGAATTGCTTCTGGAACCTGTGAACAGATCTACTTGCCAATTCCACCCTCAAGAAAAACAGAAAAGTGCTGACAAGCCCACGGTTTCCCACTGAGCAGAGAAAGTAAGCGAGACTCTGAGTGACCAGGATATCTGGGTGCAAAGACTTACACCAGAGTTCATAGTAGTAGCTGCAGCACTGAGACTGTCCACAGCAGTGCCCCGTGTCACAGGTGTAGCTTTGATTGTTGGTACCCACACAGGTTTCCTTATCCTTTAAAAAAAAAAAAAAAAGCTTTTAGCATATTAAATGATAGCTAAATTAAACTATTTGACTTATTAAATTAAATGATACCTTGTAACATCACTTTTTTTCTCACCCTCTTACTCCTGGTCAATCTGCCCCCCTCCCCACAAAACAATTTGTACTCATGTTAACTGCATTAAGAAGAAAAATGAAAAAAAGCCACACAATGACAGCAGAGCTAATAAAAAAGTATAGTTTATTAAAGAGAGTAGGAGACTTGGCACAAAGTCAATAGGCCACCGACAATGTCCTCACAAAAGGGCTGCCCCACTTTCTTTATGTCCAAACAGAAATACTTCATGTTCCAGCATTAAACTCAGATGGTAAGAAGAAGGTGACAATTCTCCTGTAATTAGCAGTATGTTTTAAATAAAACCAGCTTTCTGTGAAACTTCCTGGAAAAATTAATGTGGTTCATATTCTCGGATTAGCATCTAATTGGTCATTACATCCTCCCTTCAAAATATATGATCTCCAAGGTTAATTACAGTGTGATTCTAAAGATGGCTAAAATACTCCAAAGAAGTCTTCACTCTTAAGGGATAACCTGGTCAGGTGACCTAGTCCAATTTCAGTCTGCAAGGTTATCTTTAGTTTTTCGCGTGGTCTCTTAAAAATCTCACCTGGATCCAAGGGTTCATGCTCACCCATGGGGTCTGGGACAGCTACCTGCAGGGCACTACTGAAAAACCATCCAGCAACTGCCAAATGCTATTCACAGCACTGGTGGATAGGGCAGAGGTAGAAAACAAATTTCTATCTCACATTTTAAGGTATGACATGCCCCACCAGCCAGCCTTCACTTCAGCCCACAATGTACTCTGGAACACGATGAATGTGACAAAACCTGTAAGTCGTATGCAATACCGGGCTCTCAGCATCTCTTTATTCCTAAAGAAATAACACATTCACTGACCGGACACTCACTGTCTGGGCCAGGCACTGTGTTGGGCTCGAAGGATACAAAGATAAGTAAGACACTGTCCTTACTCTCAAGAAGCTCAGAGTCAAGAAGGAAAATAACCCAGCTCAGCAAAGAAACTAAAACCACAGTATTGCAGTTGCTGCTATCAGGCTGACCCTGCCCACAGTGTACATCCGGGAGGAAGGCTGCCAGTGGAAACTTGAGTCACATGGTCGGGTCCTCCTCTCTGCGCCTTGCTTTACTATGCCATCTACTTGGCCAAGGCCATAAATAAAGCACTTCAGTGACTGCCTACAGGGCTAGGGGCCGGGTAGCAGCACAGGCACCTGAAACCACAGGGAGAGGCAGAGAGAGACAGTGCCAGGCTGAGCACCAGCACCCTGCTTCAGTGCAAGCTTCACACTAGATCTTCAGGTATTCCCTGGTCTTTGAAAAGTCTTAACACACCTGTTATAAACAAGTATACAAGAAGGAATCGTGGGTGAAGCACTGGTAAAACTATGACAAAGAGGGTTTCACAATATTGCAAGCAGAGTTCTGCCTAGCTTTGCCTTCCCGTGTCCACTGTAAGCAAAATGAACCACCTGGCAGGTGGCTGTCCGGTCACAGGTCTCCGGGGCCTGGAGCACATGCAGAAGGCAGATCTGTTCTTGCTGCTTTTGCTACAACATCATCTGTTTTCTAACTTCAGAGCAAAACACTACTTTTCTGAGAACATCAGAAAGTCTCTCCCAAGTTTACATGCCCCACAAATGCTGTGCTTCTGGCACCGACTCGTCACAGTTCAAAGTGTTTACACTAGTTTCTAAAAGAGGCCGTGCTGCCTACACCCCGACACATTAAAGACTCCAGTGACACTTCTGGCTCGGGAAAACCTTACCAGAGGTCCAGGCTCTGAGCACAGAGCAGCCAACTGTTCCGAAGTGAGGCGTGGGATGGAATGTGTTTGAAATCCAAACAAGTGGCATCCTCATGACCTACTGGTGTCAGTTTTTCTCTCGGCACTTCCATCCCCTGAGGGAGGAGCGTGGTATAAACACCCCACTGTCCTTCCCCGTCTGCATCCATGTTCCCAGGGAGAGCAGAACTACCATCCTACCATTTAATTCCGTGTTTCTCAATCATTTTTGAATCCAGCATTATCTACCCCTGTTCGCCTCCCCCTCCTTCCACACAGATATAGGGTGGTCTTGGTTATGGCAACTGTCATTTTCTGCAGGTGGGCAGCTAAGGAAGACAAGAAGTTGGCTCATGGACCCTCAGCAAGGAAGAAATGAAGGGTGAGAGGGACAGCAATGTGAGGGCCAAGGGGAGCTCCTCCAAAGAGATCTGCTGGATACGAGGAGAATCCCAAGCTTTGGGCTTGGTCCCAGCTCTGTCACTATGGAGGAATGGGACCTTGGGCAAGCTACCAAGTGGGCCTGAACTATAAAAGCTAATTAAAATTCTCTCTGTTGTGTCCTTCAACCCTAAGACTTCATTATCTCCCCATCCCCTCTGACACAAAAGCCTCAAGCCAATGAGAACCAAAAAACTCACTGTCACCAAGTTGGAGCCAACTCATAGGGACCCCGCCCCTTGGGTTTCTGAGGCAGTATCACTATGAAAGGAACTCTGGCTGCGTAGTGCCTAAGGCATTTGACTGTTAACCAGAAGGTTGGACGTTCAAACCCACCAGCCACTCCTTGGAAGGAAGGTTGCACAAATCTACTTCCGTAGTACCTCAGAAACCTAAGGAGGGGTCGCTATAAGTCAGGTCCAACTCAATGGGACATAACAACAACAACAACATCACTACAGAACTACTTCTGTATCTTCCTTCAGAGGAGCAGCTGGTGGGTTTGAACCACCAGCCTTCTGGTTAGCAGTCAAATGCCTTAGGCACTATGCCACCAGAGCTCCCAAAATCTACATATTCTCTTACTCAAACCAACAACAGAGAACCGTGGTATGGAAACACCTGCTGCTCGGTGCTCTTCCGTCCTTTCTTAGAGGAGGAGGAGCCTAATCGTGAATCACCCAGAAAAAAGCTTATTGCCACTGAGTGGATTCCGACTCAAAGTGACCCCACGGAAGTAGATTGCCTCATCTTCCTTCTGCAGAGAGGCTGGCAGGTTTGCAACCTTCTGGTTAGCAGTCAAATGTCTTAGGAGCTGCGCCACCAAGGATCACCCCGCGGGCTCCCAAAATCTCCTCCCAATGCAGAAGTAATTAAGAGTCACCCAGAATGGGGTTCAAAGCCCAATTCTTATCCTAATTAGCTGTGTGACCTTGGGTAAGTTACTTAACCTCTCAGAGCTCTTAATGTCAACATTATTCTGTGAGCCATTATCGTGGGACACAGACTACCCAGACAGCACCTGGTTTTCAATTACAACTACTGTATTTCAGAACAGTAAAGCTGACTCACAGCAATGTGGGCTGCTCTGAACACAGAATAGAAAAAGGAACTGGACAGACGCAATGGAAAGTTCAAACACGAAGTTCTTAGCATCATTATGATCATACGCTTTGCTTCCAAGCATCTTCAAACACTTTACACATTGATCGTTGAGGCCAAACCCTGAAGTGCGGGCAGGAAATAGTCCCCTGCCCATCCCCCTTTCTCCAGAGAATGAACTGTGGTCTCCTTAGGGGGAGGAGCTTTGTCTTTGTATTCCCCTGCCATCCCCAGTCCAAGTGAGCACTGTGCTCCGCGGAACAGTGGCTACGTGAAGGCAGGAAAAACAAGAGGTGAATAATAGATAATGTGTACTCAGCACTTCCTTGTGCTCTGGTGGTGCAATGGTTAAGCACTCGGTTGCAAACCAAAAAGGCTGGTGGTTTGAACCTACCCAGTGGCTCTGCAAGAGAAAGGCCTGGCAATCAGCTTCTGTCATGCTAACTGCCAAGAAAACCCTATGGAGCAGTTTGACTCTGTCACAAAGGGTCATTGGGAGTTGAAAACCTACTTGCTGGCACCTAAAAACAACAATGAGCATTTGCTTTGTGACAGAAAACTAAAAAACTTGTCGCTGTCAAATCTAATCTGATTGACAGCGACCCTACAGGGCACAGTAGAACTGCCCCATAGTTTCCAAGGCTGTAAACCTTTACAGAAGCAGATTGCCACATCTTTTTCCTGCGGAGCAGCTGGTGGGTTTGTACCGCCAACCCTTCAATTAGCAGTTGAGCACTTAACTACTGTACCACCAGGGCTCCTTCTATGGGCCAGACACTGTTACTCAATGTTTACATGTATTCTTCCTTGTGAACTTGACAGAAACCCAATGAAGTACATATAAAGAATTGCCAGGAAGAGGGTGTCTTTAAAATGTATCAAGGAGTGCAGCAAAGAAAGGCTACGAAAGTTGTCCAAGGTCACCTACCTGGACAGGGGTCTCATCTAGTTTGTCTGCCTCCAGACTCTTGAGCTTCTAACCGCTGTAATATTGCCTCCCTGGCTGTTATACTTCTTCAGCTGCTCAAATAAGTCATCAGAATCCATAAACCAAACAAAATTAACAATTCACCTTTGAGGAAAAAGATAAGGAGCTGGCCTTATGGAGCTCTTAGACTCTGGGGACAGAGTCCATCTTCTACTCAGCAGCAAGAATGGTGATGTGTTTGAGACTCCTCACTTCTTCGCTCTAAAGGCTGTATTTCCACACACTGATTTTCTTAAGAGCATCTCCTATCACTGTGGATGGAATGTGAGGCCTTCTTTCTTTCCACATTTATTGGGTGCCTCATCAGCAGAATTTAAGGGACAGATGAGCAAGAGCAGCCACAGTCACTGCCCTCGTGGAGCTTACAGTCTAATGAAAGACAGCAAAATCATCACACAGATAAAACTGCAACTCTGGCACATGATTCCATGAGAGCTTATCATAGATTAGAGGTAGGAGCTAGTCCAGAAGGTCTTGAACTGGGATCAACAGGATGGTTACAAAATTACTAACTAGGAAAGAGGAAAGGAGTCCTTGGGTGGTGCGTATGGGTAAGCAATTGACTACTAACCTAAAGGCTGGCGTCTGAAGCCACACAGAAGCACCCGAAAGGT